ACTGAAAAAAATACTTATTGAGTCTGTTATTTGCTGTGTACTGTGCTAGAAACACCTTGGTCTATACCTTAAAGGAAGTACTATAGTAGATGTGCAAGGTATTTGCGAAAAGTCAAATGAAAGAAAATCTGAGGGCTTATTATTTTCTCTTCCATCCTCAGCATTTTGATTCATGATAATCACTTCATTACATTAGGTTTTACATTGTGTCCAGTAATTATCTTGTCATAGAGGTCATGGCTCAGTTGGGAACTTCCCAGAGTCCCAACTGATATTTCTTAGAAATTACACCTCCCACTTTTCACATTCTATCCCCAAACTAACTTTTTCTTTTGAAAAAGCATATACATAGAGTTTTTTCCCTGCTTGTGTTTAGATATTTTGATATCTTTCATCAAATATTGTTTGAGCTGGAACATTAGGAAGCCCAAGTTGCCCTGATGGACATTATAGTCTTGGTGGGGTGCCACCGGGCAAAGTGGAATATGCGTATAATGAAATGACATTATAAAAATATGGCAGAAGAAGCAGAAGAGTCCATGAGGCCTTAAGTTGTCAGAGGAATTCCCACAAAAATGTAGGATTTTAGCTCAGTGAAGGGAATAGAATGGGTTTGGTTGGGGAAGGTGCAGCGCAAAAAGATTCTGCTGGAAGGCATAGCATGAGCACCTGTGTGCAGAGGTGGAGATGGGTGTCATGAGCTGTGGAGAGCAGGGCTGAACTAAGATGGCATCAGTCCTGTCAACTAAGAAGCCATGTTTAGAGCATGCACAGTAAGACAACAGCTCAGAAGGATGATGCAACCCTTCAGGCATGCACAGTACAAGGTGCTGGCAACACGGGCCTTTCTGAAGGGTAAGATCACTCTCTCAGAGCATGCACAGTAGAGCAACATAACAACATGTCCTTATCGAGGTGGCACAAAACTACATGTATTAATCAAAGGCTGATGCAACATTTCATCATAACAAGGATGAAAGTCAAGACCTTTGAACAGACAGTTGGGATGGCTAAAAGGAGCCCCGCTGTTCCGACTGACCCTACTCTAGCTAACTCTGAAGCGGTGGTAGATTCTGCCTTGCAAGACACTGACCAGCTGCCTCCCTGACCTGGACTCTTAGAACTTGGGTTCATTACCCTCCCCCCATTCTTTTGTGTGATGTTATTACTGATTGTTTCTGAGTGATTATTATTATTATTGGGTTGTTATAGATTTGGATTGAACCTGCATTAATAAAAGCTGAGTCACCTGTATTGACTCACTGTTATTCTTTGGTGCCAGTGTTGTCTGCAGGGCTGGTGGCATTATAGGCAGTCCAGCACCTCCAGTCTATGACAAAGACTGGGGGCAGACTTACAGAGAAAACTATAGTGTGGATACTCATAAGGTTAGAACATCACTCTCGATGTGAGCTCAAAGTGAGTAGGATGCCAGCCTGGGTGATACAGATTTATGTTGAAGAATACCAGGCTGGGGGTCATGAGTCAAGGCACTGGAAAACCCCTGAGTACAGGACTGAGGGGTTTGTGCTGACACTTTCTGAGCAAAGGGAGGGGGGAGTATATGAGTCATGCTTCATCTGGCACTGTGTGGGGAGATACTAGAAGTGGGGACACTGGAAATAAACTAAAGAAAGTTTGGAAGATTGGGAATGATTGCCTATGGGTGGCTAAGGGAGAGAGGGGAAAGAGTAGCAAATGATTCCAGAATGTCTGGCCTGGGTGTTTGGGAATGACGGGGCACCTTGCCCATCAATCAGTCTTTTGTAGGAATTCTTCCTTTCAAATGGCTGTCTTTCTTTCCCATTAATTTTTTTCTCTCCCTCCTGTTATACCTGGAATCTAGGGATTTTTTCAAGGGAACATTTTCTGCTGCAACTTCTATTGGGCATTCAAAGTTAATGGTCTGCAGCCAAGTATGGGATAAAGTTCCTCTACTTCTCTCTTACTGTCTAGCTGTTAGAACTAGCACAAGTCAATATACCTTAGAACTGGGGGCTGGAGGGGATGTTAAAAGATCATCTAGATAATTTCTCTGCCTTCAGGGAGGAGTAAACCAAAATCGTTCCAAATGTATTAAACATGCTTTGTTTTTAAATTACATTTTTCTGAAGGACCTCACCCATGATCCCTGGGAAAGCTCTTTAGAATTAATTGATTACTATCAGAAAACTGTTTAGGCTCAACCTCTCATATTTCAGTTTCAAACTTCATTTTTCTGTGGAGAGACAAAATAGCTGGTTATTATCTTCCTGATAAGAAGCCTTCACACTCTGAATCTCTTTTTCCTTAAATATATTTGTTTCTGAAACTTTTCCTTATATTCCCTTAAATAATATTCATTACTTGATGCTGAGTCCTCCCTCAAGCTGGTTGCTCTTCTTTAATTCGGAACCCAAAACAAGACTCTGTATTCTAGAAAAGGTTTGGCCATTTGACATAGAAGAACAATGATCCAATGATCCTACAGACCAGAACTTATTCCTCCAGGACTATACTGGCTCTTTAAACCACAGTGTGAGGATGGCTGAGGGCCATTTGTCGTCCTGTTGTTTTCCTGCTAAAGTTGTATATCATTGTCCCATCCTTCTCAATAACCCTCCCTCACCAAATGTTTCTTTTATCTTTTTTGTTATAATTGACATACATTATATTAGTTTCAGTTGTAGAATATAATGATTTGATGTTTGTATATACTGCAAAATAATTGCCGCAATAAGTCAAGTTAATAACTATAACTATCATATATAGTTATAGATCTTTTTCTTTGTGATGAAAACTTTTAAGATCTACTCTCTTAGTGGTATTCAGATATGCAAAACAGTATTGACTAGAATTGTCATGCTGTCCACTGCACCCCCGGGACTTATTTTATAACTGGAAAATTGTAGCTTTTGATGATTTTCACCCATCCCCCACGCCTTACCCTCTGCCTCTGGCAACCACCGATCTGTTCTCTGTATTTATGAGCTTGGCTTTTTGACTTTAGATTGCACACATAAGTGAGATCATACAGTATTTGTCTTTGTCTGACTTACCATAATATTCTCAAGTTTCATCAATATTGTTGCAATGGCAAGATTTCATTCTTTTTATGGTTCCATTGTGTGTATATTATATATGTATTAGTAAAATAGTTTCTAATCAAATATTTCTTTCATAGGCCATGATCAAATGGTTTTAATTGGTTATTCAATGAGCACATGGACATTTTTTTATAATGTTAGAAAATACATGGTGCTTTGGCCTAAATGCTTGTGTTTCCCCTCCCCATCCCAACTTTGTTTATTGGAAACCTAATGCCCCAGGTAATGGTATTAGGAGGTGAAGCCTTTGGGAAATAACTAGGCTATGAAGGCAGAGCCCTCATGAATAAGATTGCTGCCTCACACGAAGGCATCCCAGACAGCTAGCTTGCCCTGTCCACCATGTGAAAACAGCAGAAGTCTGCAACCCAGAGGAGGACTTCACCTGATCATACTGGCCCCTGATCTTGGACTCCCAGCCTCCAAAACTGTGAGGAATAGATTTCCGTTGTTTATAAGCTGCCCAGTCTATGGAATCTTATTAGAGCAGCACAAATGGACTAAGACACATGGTAAAAAGAAAAAGGATACGAAATGAAAAGTTTTTGTCTGACCCTTGTCTCAGCCATCTACTTTCTTCCCACAGGGTCCAATCACATTTCCAATCACAATCTGTTTTTTTTTTTAATTTTTATTTATTTATTTTTAGAAAGGGGAAGGGAGACAGAAAGGGAGAGAAACATCAATGCGCAGTTGCCTCTCAAGCACCCCGCACTGGGGACCTGGCCCACAACCCAGGCATGTGCCCTAATTGGGAATCGAATCCATGACTCTTTGGTTCACAGGCTGGCACTCAATCTACTAACCCACACCAACCAGGGCTATATAATGTATTCTTAATACAATTGGCAGTGTATTTTAATACTGTTCTACATCTTGTTTTAAATTTAATAATATACCTTGGTACACAGAGGTCTTCCTCATTCTATTTTATTATACTGTACAGAATACTGTATAGTATTCTTCTGAGTGGATGTACCATAATATATTTATTCCAAACCTTTCTAAACACTTATTCCATTCTCCAAAGTATCCCCTACCACCTGAAGACTGATGAAGACTATCATACTTCATCTTTAGTACACAGCTGTCTCCGGAGTGCTTATAGCATTGCACTCGGAGCCATAGCAAATAGAAGAAACAGTGAATCTGGCAGCCTCTGCTCTCTAGGAAACTACAGTTCCATCAACAATAAAAGACATGGGGATGGGGAAGGTTTGATTGCCAACTCAATCACCCCACAGTTTTCATTTGTTTTCAAGCACATCAGACTCTTTCTAATAATAGCCTTCTATATGGTATAAATGGCCTTTTCACATCCATGCTGGATGTACATGATTGTGAAGCTGATCTGACATATACTGGCAGCCTCTCAAGTAGGAGACCATGAAAGAGACCTAAATGAGCGAAGTGAAGTGAGCCAGTTGGGAGAGCACAAGCTCTGTTTAAAGGGAACAGCCAGCTGCTATTTTGTTCTGGGAAATTCTTTTCCTGTAGGTTACTAGATCTGATTGATTAACAAGAATCCATGGATAAAAGGTATATGGGATATTTTTGTTTAATTTCTTACAACCACATGTGAATCTATAATTATTTAAAAATATAAAGTTTAATTTAAAATAAAAACCAGACACTTAGATCACTGTGTGAAATTACCTGATTGATAAATGTAGGCAAAATTTTACACTGCACAGTCCCAATGAAACTCATCTGTCTACCACTTGCAGCCCCAGGACCATCACTTTTGTGATCGGTGCGTATTATGTGTTACATGCTGTTGAGTCACCTCTGACTCCTGATGATCTGTGCATATTTGATTTGTGTGAAGCCTGTGGCAGCCAATGCATGAATCTGCATAAAAAGTACCTCTTACTACTTTGTCATTTCCATTTGTTGAGTTTCCTCTCATTCCAGGTCCTTGGATGTGGCTGTGTTGCCCAAGCTACCCTCAGTCGAGGACATTTTGGAGGAATCATCACTATTAATGTTGGATTTGCAATGGCAGTCTCAATGGCCATTTATGTGACTGGAGGTGTCTCTGGTATGTATGTAATAGAAATAATAATAGTTACTATTATCTCAACCATTTCCATGTGCTAGCACAATGCTGGGTGCTTTATATACCTTCATTTATTTAGATCTCAGGAGTCCTGCAAGAGTATGTATTTGATTCTACTTTTAGAGATGATAAAATTAAATGTCCAGCAAATGGCAAGTGACATGTGCAACAGCAACATTTAGCAAGAGACAGAGATGGGTGTTAGAACTCAGAACTAATTCCTGTATCTGGCCACTGAGTCATTTTGTTCATCTGTCAATGCAGTCTTTTACTTGCTCTATGTCACACTTGGAAACTATTTCCCAGATGCCTTGTGAATAGCCCAGTGAAGATTGCCACTCCACAGAGGCAAAGTCCCTGGACCTTTATCTCTAGCACTTGGAGTCTGGGTCACTGACTGGCACATTCATGGAAGTGCAGGTCTGAACCAGTTCTTGGTCTAATTCTGCCCCAAATGGTGGGCTGATTGGAAGCCATTCTTAATTAAGTTTCTGAGAAGCAAGATGAACTGATACTTAATGCAACCTGGGAACTTAGAAAGGGACTGTGAAAATGACCCGGCTCCCAAAGGTTCTTGGAATCTTTCAGCAGCCTGGTCTGGGTGCTGAGAACTCTAAGACAAGACTGCTGGTGATAAGGCACAAAAAGGAACGGTGCATGCTGGGCACTGTGCTGGCTGCTGTATGGACTTTGTCTTCTCTCCTCTCCAGCAGGACTCTGCGGCAGGTATTAGTGTCTCCCTTCTACAGAGAAAACTGGAACTATGAGGGAGGAAGTAAATGGCCAGAAGCCCCACAGCCAGTGAAGAGGCAGACCAAAGATTTGACCCAGGTCTATATGACATTAAAGCTCATGCCCTGTTATTAGGCCATAGTCTTCTCTGGGAAGGGCATTACAGGTAGGGCCTGCCATTAAGCCAGCTGGCCTAGTGACAGGTGCTGTCACTGCAGCACTGAAGAATGATGGCTTGGACAACCTGGGAGCCTCCTCAGGCTGGTCACCCAGAACAGTCACTGCTGGCTGGCCCCCTTTCCGCATCATAGTCAGACTCAGATCCTGCGGAGGTCCAGGCTACAGGTTCCTGTGGATGTAATTTGTTTGGCATGAGCAGTGTTTCTGTTCAAACTCCTGCTGAGCCTCTGCTGTGATCCCAGCACTGTACTGCCTACCTAAGGCACAAGATTAACCAGGGGACCACCCTGAATGTGCATGTGTTGAGGCTTAATTACAGTGCAGGCCTCTGCACCACACACAGGACACACTCCCAAATTAAAACGAGCATGCAGGATGCTTGCTGCCATGCCTACACACTCCCATTCCATTCTCACAGTGTGGTTTCCTCTGTGTTAACACATGTGAGCATATTCTCAGCTAGTTTGTTTGCTTGTGTATGTGTGTGTAGACATGAGGTTTTGAAATATTTTGCTTACACGGCACCCTGAATTAAACATTGTCAAATATTTACTTAAGATCACTTTGTTCTATACCCTACCATTAGTTAGTTCCATAACTAACACCCTTTACCACCACTGCTGTCCATGACTGTTGGCATTCATAGATATACTAGGCAATTTGGGCAGTCACTGTAGGAGGATAAGGGCAGGGACCCACAGGAAGGGGGAGAGGGAATGAAGGCTGGTATGAAGACTTTCCATCAGGCCCCAGGACTCAGGTTAAGCCCCTGGGTTTAGAGGAGTGAAGGCATGAACTGATGGGACTGTTTTTAATAGAGTTGTTTCTGGGTGAGAACTGGAAGCTGGCCAAATTGTTCATGAGGGATTGTGAGATCCCAAAATACTAGTAGAGCAGTTTCTGAACCTGAATGATGTTGGAAGGTAGGAAATGGAGCTTATCTACTCTTCTCTGTTTGGCACTCAGCACTGTTCAGGCTCCCTGAAAACTGGTGGCTTTGGGAACCTGCACAGACAATACCCTGGCCCACCAATGACATCCATGCAGATTCAGTGTTGGCTCTAGAAGCAGCAGGAATAAGAGAAGATTGTGTGCAGGAGGCGACTTTCTCATGGTAGCTACAGCTAACTTAATGGCTTAGGAGCACTAGTGAGGCCCTCTTTGAGGATTCTAACATAACCAACATATATTGGGCATAAACATAAATGAGATCTCATTTTGTGGTTGCAGATTGGTAAGGTGAGCTGGCCTCTGGTTTTGAAATAGAAAACATTACCTTACTGCAAAGAAGCTACTGCACCCTGCTTCCCTTGTGGCTGTGCGGGTGGCCTGGGAACCCAACCCAGCCAATCAGAACTTATGACATCCTCATGCACCATCCAACACTGAGTGTCCCACTGCCTACCTGCACCTAGGCAATGGTGGTTGTTTGGATGTAGCATTTTATATGTAACATAAATTCATTGAAAAATCAGAATACCTTTGCTTAATGACAAAATATTGAGGTTATCTCTGTCATAGAATTGTCTGTGGGTGGTGGAGATAAGTAACATAAATTCATTGAAAAGTCAGAACAGCTTTGCTTAATGACAAAATATTGAGGTTATCTCTGTCATAGAATTGTCTGTGGGTGGTGGAGAGGAGGGCACTGGTCTAGAACAGAACCTTGAAAGAGTTCAGCCTGCTCACTGAAGACTTTTATCTCAGGCCTCCGTGGGCTCTGCCTGCCCTTCAGGGCTCTTTAGGCAAATAATCTGATCATCACAACAACCTTGGCAGGGCCAGACTTTGAGTGCAGCACTCTCTGACTCTAGCACTCATGTTCTTTCCAGTACACTGCTCTGCCTGGTCCTGCTGGGTCAGCCAGAGTGGCCCCTCATCTCTGTGAGGAGGAACTGTCCTCATTGCTTTGCAAAGCACCCTCCCAGACATACCCTCTCTGGCTTCCAATGTCCCCTCTCTGTAGATATTTGTGATCTGATTTATCTGAACAAAGGTCTCTATTTCTTGAACTTCGACACATACTAACTGCCTTGCAGCATGGGAAGTCCAAGGTGAATAATAGTTCCTGTCTCATGGTACTTATTAGGGACTTAAAAGCAAAACCCTACCTATGGGAAGTTTCATTTTGGAAGAGGAGCTCTCTAAACAAACAACTCCTCCACTAATGAACTCATCTGAGGGGAGGTGTTTTTGTTTGGAGGTGATTTCTGATGTACCCTGGTCCTTTCACATTGGGTTCCCCTGGGCTGGCCGGGTGGCAGCTACTCCCCAATGCAGCCCTGGGAGAAGGGGAACAGGGTTGGTTTCAGGAACTTTCCGCCACCGTGTGTGCTTCCTGCTCCTAACCCATTTCCAGCTTTCCTAGCATGCTATATTCCTGCTAGTCTCCAGAATTGTAACTCTCTTGGATTTAAAAGTAAAACAAAACATGTGACATGTTTGTAAGGCTTCAGGAAATCATCTCTGCTTTGGTGCATTGGTGTTTTCTTGCTCATATTAACCCCCAAGTGTCAGGGGCAGATGTAGAAAGGACCCTTGTGGTTTAGCCAGCAGACAGAAAAAACTCTCCCCACTGCAAACCCACTTCGGCTTAGAGATTCAGGATAAGCATAGCTTCCTTCCCTTCACAAGGAGGGCTTCCAGAAATAAGCTCACCTACAGGTGCTGTGGAGGATCAAATGTCGAAGTATCATCATAATCATCATCATTATCGTCACTCTTTTTTACAACTGTATCTACAGTCTGAGGGTCCCCACTTTAATGTGGTCATATTGACAGTGACTCTAATTCCCCCTGCACACAAAACGTCATCTGTACGCATCAAATGTACAATTTTTTGTCTGAAGGAAAGTGAATCCATGTACTCATGTTCTTTTTATTTTTTTCTGCCTGCTAAGGCAGATAAGCCTTTATAAACTTGGTGAAAAAGGTCTGGAAGTGATATAACATTGGACCAAAGCTCTAGAGTTCAGATAAGCCTGGATTTGAATTCTAGTTCTACCATTTACTAACATGTATCCTTAAGAAAGTTACTTTAGTTCTATGCCTCAGTTTTCTCACCAGTTAACTGGAGTGGTACCCATCTCAGTGGGTTCTTATAAAGATCAAGGGCATGTAAGGCCCCTGTGATAGCATCTGGCAAGTGTTCAGTGAATGTTGTTGTTACTAGCAAAGCCAGCTGGGACTGTTAGTGACTTTCCAGAACAAACTCTCTGATCTTGTGGCTAGAGGAGAATTGGGAGGCTGATTTGTCTAGCCTTGGTTTAGGTTGGGATAACAGAAGTGCTCCTACATCTGTGTGTGAGGGAAATACGTTGTTTATGCAGAAGAACTACGGAGAATCCACTCAGACAGTGTGATCACCTCAAAGTAAACTGAGTCCCTTACCTCAGTGGCAGGCACAGCCCAGTAGCCATAGGACATTTCTCTAAAGAGACATCTCTTTCTCATTCTAAGATTGTTTTATATCCTCCAAACATGAACTGATAAATGACTAGATACAGATTTAAACCTTATAAGTATATTGTATATTGACTTTTTTAAAGTATATTGAACATAACAGTTCACATCAATCTCTTAGAGGTTATTGCTTTATAGATAGAGAAAACTCAGTAGAGAGATGATGGCTAGATGACAGATAGATCGATAGATGATAGATAGATAGATAGATAGCAAAAATTATACACTTGAGTACAAATTTCTTTCTATTCAATATATCACAAAGGTAAACATCCTAAACAATGTCTAATGATGCCATGTAGATTATTAGTCCTCCCTTCCTCCCCACTCAATCTCTTTCTCTCTTTCTCCCTCTCCTCCCCCCCCACACACACATTCAACACAGACACACAGACACACAAGACTCTATGTTCTCACATACAGATCTCTTCCTAGAAGACTAAGTTCTGCCCAGGATTTTCATCGTAGTAACTCTCCCTGACCTGCTCTCTAACATTCCAAATGATCTTATTTTCCTTGCAGGTGGCCACATCAACCCAGCTGTGTCTTTTGCAATGTGTCTCTTTGGACGGATGAAATGGTTCAAATTGCCGTTTTATGTGGGAGCCCAGTTCTTGGGAGGGTTTGTAGGTGCCGCAGTCCTCTTTGGTATTTACTATGGTGAGTAAGAGCCCCAAGTGCAAAGGTTAGGGAGAGCTGGGCATAATTTGAACAGCAGAATTACTTGAAATAGGTGCAATAAGGCAAGAATAGGAAACAGTCTACAATAGACAAGCAATTCTAAGAGTTCTAAGTTCTAAATAATTGGGCCAACATTATTATTAGGGGAAATTCATGAAGCCTCTTCATGAAAATGGTCACAACTTAAGAGGTAGAGCAGAAATTAAAGGAAGCATATATTTAGGCCCAACCAGTGCTATACTGTGAACTTGCACAAAGTAAGGAGCTGTGTGACTTAAATAAGTCACCTGGTCTTACCGATCCCAGTTTCCTTTCTGGAAAAAATGTGGTAGGAGAGACCTGGGGCCAGCACAGGCTCTGTGGGGACTGCTGTCTCCCTTCCTCCAAAGGCAACTTCACTATACATGACATCCTCAAGTTGTGAACTGCTAATAGAGTTATGAACTCTGCCTAGAGTAGGTACAAGTTCTACATTGGCTTTTGGTCTAGCTCAAAAATTCCAACAACTCTCCAAAAGATTATTTCCAGGGTCCACTGATTAAGGATTTGACTCAAGTTTAGAGTGAACCATTGAGGGCAGCCAGTGCTTTCTATCCTTGACCTGCCATCCTGTGACTTCTCTGGTCATCTCTGAACCCACCATACTATAAAGTAAAGAAGGCAAACCATATGGATCTTCCAAAGTAAACCTGAGTGTTTACTACCATTGGTTAACACAAGACCAGGCATAGGTCTCCCTCACCCCTTCCCAGAGAACATAACGTGCAGAGCTCTGTCTTCCACAGATGGACTTATGTCCTTTGCTGGTGGGAAACTACTCATCGTGGGAGAAAATGCAACAGCACACATTTTTGCAACATACCCAGCTCCTTATCTGTCTCTGGTGAATGCATTTGCAGACCAAGTAAGTGTACAGTCAACACAGAGCTGACTTTGGTGAAAAGATGGGATTTAATAAGGAGATTGCATGGGAGAACTATAGGCTTATCAGAAAAGAAAGGCTGTGTTTCCAAAGTCACAGGTCACTAGGCATCACCCAAGCTTTGTCGGCAAAGAGTTTCCTGCTCCCTCATTAATATATATACTGTTCATACCAGTTGAGGTCCAGAAAATAGTGGATGACTGGACATTTCAACCTCTGTAACTACAAGTAGAGTCTGTTTCACTATTATGTCTCTTTTGTGTGTGTGATCTAAATGTGGAGACACAGGAAAAGATACTTCAATCTCAATTCAAAGATTGTGAAGTGAGGAAGTTGAGCCTTAGGTTATCACAGACCCTCTCTGTCTCTTCATGTGAATAGGTTTATTCAAATTCTCAAGGAAGCTAGAAATATCAAAGTTTCTCTGCCTCATTAACATTTGAACAAGCTGCATCCAAGAACCTGTGGTGTAGCCAATAGCACAATTATTCTGGTCAGTTTGTGGCAGGACCAACATTGTTAGCTTGACAGACTCTTCCTCCCTTACTGTATCCTAGGAAGGCTGCTTGCCAGCTTGGTCAGGACAGGGAAGGAAGGAAGGGAGGAAGGGAAGGAGGAAAGGAAGAAGGAAATCTCCAGCAATTCTAAGACTTTTTCTTGTGTATAGGACTTACACAAGTGAAAGTGCACATGTGGATAAAATGGAGTTTTCAGTTTGCTGACTCCGCCTTCCTCCATTCAGTGGGTGAAAAATCTGTTAAAATTTAAGTTCTCATGGCTTCCACCCTGTTCCTTTACACTGTGACCAGTAAACCAAGCAGGCAACAAATGCTTACTGCACACTCACTATGTGATCAGCCCTGTGCCTGGAGCTTAAAGGACACAGGGCTGTGACTTGAAAGGAAATGTAAGTTGTAAAGATCCAGGACTTGGAGCCTAAGTGCCCAGACTAAAATAATTGTTCTGCCAACTCCCTATGCAATGTCAGAAAATGACTGAACGTTTTTGGTCTCAGGTTGTTCATTTGTAAAATGGGGCTAATATTAGCCCTTATATGGTTACTAATGAGGCTAGAATGAATGATATGAGGAAAATGCATTGTCAACAGCATCTGCCCAAGGAATTTAGAATCTTGTTGAAGAACAAAATGGTCACATAAGAACAAAAGAAACAATGCAAAACCTCCCCCCCCCACCCCCAGAGTAAGCTGGCCCCAGGACATTTTTAGGTCACTTTATCTCAAGATAACTCAATTGCTTGGCTCCAAATATTGTTCAAGCATATTCTATAATTTAATTAACAATCATTCTGTTACCTTATAAATAATTACTGGCACCTACTAAAGCAGGTACAGCCCCATGCTGTTCCTTATTCAAGGAATACAGGGCCAAGACTCTGACAAGTAACAGGTGGATCACTCCTTGTAGGGTGACGATGGCGAGGATAGAAGTCAAGTCAGAATGCAACCAGAACCCACAGGCGGAAGTTTCTACTCTGCCCGGGAGAGTGGGATAGGTTTTCCAGAGAAGAGAGCTCTTGGGAGAACATGTCTTTTTGAATGCAAATTCTTGTAATATTATTCATTCAGAAGGCAGATAAAACAATGAAAAGCTTAAACTCTAAAATCAGTTGCCTGGTTGTCATCCTGATTCTTTTGCTTATAAACTCTGGCACTAGGGCAAGTCTCTTAACCTCATTCTATCCAAATTTTCTCATGTGTAAACTGAGAATAATAATAGGACTTATCTCATAGGTTATTCTGAAGTTCTAACGAGATAAAGCATGTTAAGCACTTGGCCCAGAATAAGTGTTCAGCAAATAGTCACTGTCTTTTAGCTGTTAAAGTAAAACAATAGTTTGGAAACTTTAGAAAACAAAGGGAGGAAAAACAAGCTAAAAGCCTCCACTTCAGAATATCTGTTATCACTTTTTTTGTATATTCTCTTAGAAGTTTTCTTTTATGCATGTTTGTAAAATATAATACACATATAACTTTTTCATTTAATATCAGAAGCATTTTTAAATGTTACCCCTTAGCTTTTATATTTATTTTTTTTAAGATTTTATTTATTTATTTATTGAGAGAGAAGAAGGGGGGAGAAAGGGAGGGAGAGAAACATTGGTGTGGGAAACATTGATTGGTTGCCTCTCATACGCGCCTGGCCCAGGATAGAACCTGCAACCCAGGCATGTGCCCTGAGTGGGAATCAAACCAGTGACCTTTCGCTTTGCTAAACGATGCCCAGCCAGCTGAGCCACACCAGTCAGGGCTATTTTTTAAAGTTTATTGAGATACAAATTCACATATCATTACAGTTGACCCATTTAAAGTGTACTATTAATGGCTTTTAGTAATTTACAGAATTGTGCAACTATCACTACAATATATTTTAGAATATTTTTGTAACTGCAAAAAGAAACCTGTTGCCAGTTAGCTGTAATCCTTGACTTTATTCCACCCCATAGCACTAGGCAACCACTAATCTATTTTCTGTGTCTGTAGATTTGCATATTCTGGACATTTAGTGTAAAGGGAATCATACAATATGTGATCTTTTGTAACAGATCTTTCTTTCATTTAGCATTATAGTTTTTAATTTTTATTTTTATTTTAAGTATATTTTATTGATTATGCTATTACAGTTGTCCCCATTTTTCCCCTTTGCCCCCTTCTGCCAGGTATCCCCCTTCCCACCAACAATCCCCTCTCTTAGTTTGTGTCCATGGATCATGCATATAAGTTCTTTGGCTTCTTCATTTCCTATACTATTCTTAACCTCTCCCTGTCTGCTTTGTACCTACCAATTATGCTTCTTAGTCCCTATACCTCCCCTATTCTCCCCCTTCTCCCTCCCCACTGATAACCCACCAAATGATCTCCACATCTATGATTCTGTTCCTGTTCTCGTTGTTTGCTTAGTTTGTTTTTGTTTTCATATTTTAGATTCAGTTGTTGATAGTTGTCAGTTTGTTGTCGTTTTAATGTTCATAGTTTTGATGTTTTTTAATGTTTATTTATTGATTGATTTTTAGAGAGAGAGGAAGGAAGAGAGAAAGAAACATTGACCTGTGGTTCCACTTATTTTTGCATTCATTGGTTAATTCTTGTATGTGCCCTGACCAGGGATCAAACCCACAACCTTGGCATGTCAGTACGATGTTCTAACGAAATGAACTACCTGGCCAGGGCCGATCTTCTTTTTCTTAGAAAAGTCCCTTTAACATTTCATATAATAATGGCTTGGTGATGATGAACCCCTTTAGCTTGCTCTTATCTGGGAAGCACTTTATCAGCCTTTCAATTCTAAATGATAGCTTTGCTGGACAGAGTAATCTTGGATGTAGGTCCTTGCTTTTCATCACTTTGACTATTCTGGCCTGCAAAGTTTCTTTTGGGAAATCAGCTGATAATCTTATGAGAACTCCTTTGTAGGTAACTCTCTGCTTTTTCTCTTGCTACTTTTAAGATTCTCTCTTATCTTTAACCTTTGGCATTTTAATTATGACGTGTCTTGGTGTGGTCCTCTTTGGGCCCAACTTGTTTGGGACTTTCTATGCTTCCTGGACTTGTATGTCTATTTCCTTCACCAAATTGGGGAAGTGTTCTTTCATTATTTGTCAAATGAGTTTTCAATTTCTTGCTCCTCCTCTTCTCCTTCTGACATCCCTATGATTTAGATGTTGGGTCTTTTGTTGATGTCCCGGAGTCTTCTTATTCTCTCCTCTTTTTTTTTTAAATGTTTGTTTCTTCATTCTGTTCTGATTGACTGTTTATTTCTTCCTTATGTTCCAAATTGTTTATTTGAACCCTGGCTTCCTTCCCTTCACTGTTAGTTCTCTGTGAATTTTTCTTTATTTCACTTAGTGTAGCCTTCATTTCTTCCCTTATACTTTTGCCGTATTCAGTGAGTTCTCTGAGCATCCTTATCATCAGTGTTTTGAACTCTGCATCTGATAGGTTGGCTATCTGTTTTATTTCATTCTTTTTCTGAGGTTTTGTTCTATTCTTTCATTTAGGTCATATTTCTTTGTCTTCTCAATTTGGCAGCCTCCCTGTGTTTGTTTCTGTGTATTAGGTAGAGCTGCTTTGACTCCCTATCTTAGCGCACCTGTTAAGTTGTATGGGGCAGAATCTTAGGTATTCACCAGGGCTGGGTACTTGTTTCACTGCTTTGTGGCTCTGTATGTGGGGGAGGGGTCGGAGAGAGGACAATGCCACTATCTGGTTAGTGGAAGCTTGCTTGGCACTCACCCCATTGCCAGTCACTTCACCCTCTTCCCGTATGTGACTGGCACCCCTCCAGTTGCTGCCCCAGTGGTGTTTTCCAGAGTGGGCGGGTTTGTGTATATTCTAGAACTGTGCAGCCACTTTAAACAAACTGTCCTGAAAAATTGGCAGTTTCTTCTGTCACCCCAACTCCCATTGGTTTTTACAGCCAGAAGTTATGGGGCTTCATTTGCCCAGTGCTGGAACCCTGGGCTGCATGGTGTGCCATGAGGCTGGGATTGTTTGCTCCCCAAGTGGCCTTCTGGGTTTTATTTGTCACACATGAATGTGGGACTGCCCATCTCACGGGCCCAGCCATCGCAGCCCCGCCACTGCCACACCGTGTCCTTTCCATCTCCACCCCTCCTACCCATCTAGATGAATATGGCTTCTGTAAATCCTTGGTTGTGGACTTCCATACAGTTCAATTTTCTGGCAGTTCTGGGCATTTTTTGTTTTGCAGTTAGTTGTGATCCTTCTTATGGTTGTGTGAGAAGGTGAAGCGTGTCTACCCATGCCTCCATCTTGACCGGAAGTGGCTCTAGGGCTATTCGTTTTAGTGACTATATAGTAGACTATAAAATGGGCACTAATTTCCCTGTCGATGTGTACTTAGATGGTTTCCAGTTTTTCAATACTATAAGTACAGTTGACCTTTGAACAACATCGGAGTGAGGGGTGCCCACCCCCATACAATCAAAACCCGGCATATAAATTTTGACCCTCTCAAAACTTAGCTACTATAGTTTACTTTTGGCTGAAAGCTTTACCAGGAACATAAACAGTTGATTAACACATATTTTGTATGTTGTATGTATTATATGTTCTTACAATAAAGTAAACTAGAGAAAATGTTATTGAAGAAATCACAAAGAAGAGAAAGTACACTTACAGTATTTATTGGAAAAAAATGCAGTTGAAAACCCATGTTATTTAAGGGTCAACTGTAATGGTTAATGAACACATCTGTTCTATGATAATTCTGTATTTTAGATTATTTTCATGGTATGGTTGTCAAATACCCAATGAAGTCAAACTGAATAATTTTTAAAATGCATATTGCTAAATTTCTGCTGAGTTTCTTTTCAGAAGTGTGGTGCATGTTTAGCTCTGCTGGGAAAGCCTGAGAGAACTGCTGTCATTTTTCTAACTTTTGGTATTGTTTGCATTTCTTTTCATTATAAATCAGTTTCCCCGCTAACTTGTTTCTTAATTCTGCTTTTCTTTTATGAACTTTCTGTTCATTTCCTTTACCCATCTACCTCTTGACACCTCACATCATTGGTCTTGCCAACTTGAAGGAGCCTCTTTGTCTGCAGGTTTTCCAACCTGCAGTTTGTCTTTCTGTTTAGCTGGGTAGTAGTTTAGCAGGAGAGTGTAGTGAAGATAACATTCTCTAGAGCCTCACTCTCTGGGTCCACACCTGACTGCCACTAAGTGTGTAGCCTTGGGCAAAGAACTGATTTGTACACAAAAATATTAGCACCCACACCTAAGAGTGCTATGATAAAGTGAGTGTCTGGTACAGTGTGCTCACCCAGTGTATGTTAGTTATTACTAGGTTTGTTTTTAACAGGAAGGAGTGAATTTTGAGGTGGGAGAATGGACAGACTATAAGCTAAATCCTCTGTGCTTTTTCTCCTCCCACAGGTACTGGCCACCATGTTTCTCCTCATGGTTGTCTTTGCCATCTTTGACTCCAGAAACTTGGGAGCCCCTAAAGGCTTAGAACCCATTGTCATTGGCCTCCTGATTATTGTCCTTTCTTCCTCTTTGGGGCTGAACAGTGGCTGTGCCATGAATCCAGCTCGAGACCTGAGTCCCAGATTGTTCACTGCTTTGGCTGGATGGGGCTTTGAGGTCTTCACGTAAGTAGCAATGGGTGCGGGCAGAGGGGAGAGAAAGATTCAGGCTGTACTTTATCAGGGAAGGCTGTGCTTTGAATTGGGATCCCGGAGAGTATGATTGCAGAGGTAGAGATCAAGTGCATACTCTGATCATGAATGTGGAATGTTTTACTGGTGATTTGTGATAACATGGGGCTCTGTGTGTGTGAGAGACAGAGAGAGACAGAGAGACAGAAAGACAGAGAGAAAGAATTCCAAAGAGACAGTCCTGTCCTGTATATAATTGGTATACGGTTAAAGGTGAATATTTCAATTGTATAACTTGTCTATAGATTCACTTTCTGACAAAATTGGACTAGAATTTACATGTTTCAATACTACTTCAGGGCTCTTTCTAGTGACCCATGCTAGCTATGTTTTTTTGATTGATTGATTCATTCATTCATTCAGCAGATCTTCACTGAACACTATCTATGCTGTGGTCATTGAGCTAGGCAAGGAAATTTGAAATTAGCTAAGTCAGTAGTCATGACCAATGTAATGAGTGGTCTGGCAACCCCTCAGACAAAGTTCCAAGGAATGACTAGCTCTGCCTGGGGAAGTTCAGAAAGGCACCACTGAAAAAAGAGTTGACTTGGGTCTTTAGGTATGAGTAAAAAATTCCTGTCAGAGATAAAAGACAGCCTGTGCACAGGAAATGGCAAGACCCTGTGCTTTCAACCTCAGAATGTACTGAAGAACTATGCCAACAATTAGTGCCAAGCTGCCAGGACAAATTTTGCCCATTAATTCCTCCCACTCTCCCCACTTAAAGTCACAGTGACTCATCCCACCCATTCACCACATCTCTCTACAGGAAAGGAACTTCCTTTGGTTCCTCAGAAATAGAGCTCTAACATGGAGAAAGAGAAGTAGGAAAAACACTTGACAACAAATTTTCATTTAATGTTTGCTGTAAGAACAAAGGATTTGAGTGTCCCTAAATGCTGGCCTGCACAAATAGTCATACCCATGTGATAACCTTATTTAAGTGAGAGTTTGTCTGGCCTTCACAAGTATGAGGATCAAGCCATTAGAATAACTGACACCATTCACCATTCACATAACCACCACCACAGATAGTGTTGAGAGCTGCTAGAGTATCAGCATCATGAGGACAGATACCTTGACAGCTTTTTCATGGCTGTATCCATGAAAATAGGGCCTGGCACACAGAGAGTTCAATAGAAGTTACTGACAAAGGAATGAATATACGCTGTGTTCCATACATGTCCGAGGAGATGAGGGTTATGAGAAGAATCAAGCAACATTCCTATCTTTAAGAAACAAGAAATACAATGAATTTTCTAAAACAGTGATTTTTGGACCAGAGGCATTTTGCCCCCAGGGACATTTGGCAGTGTCTGGAGACATTGCTGGTTGTCACAGCTGGGAAGGCTGGGGGCAGCAGTTGTTACTGGCATCTAGTGGGTAGAGGTTAGCATATTGGGAAACTGCTAAGCACCCTACAGTACTCAGGACAGACCCCCACAACAAAGCATTACTTGGCCAAAAATATCAGGAGTGCCACTTAAGGAGCTCTATTCCAGAATAGTCACCACTAGGACACAAGAAGGTTGAATAAAATGTCTTCAGCTGAAAATGATCCTTTGTGTGCTTCTAGTAGAGATTCAGAATGTAAGTCCTAAAGATCTCCTTATTCCCAGAGTCCAGAATTAGCCCATGAGTTTCTTTTAATCCCATGTTCCTGATATTCACTCAGGAGACCACTACCCCCACCACCAAGTCACTCCTGTTAGTTTCACACAGGACCCTAGAACTAAGATGCCCCAAGGTGATCTAGCCTCCCTTTGAGCCCTGCTTGGTAATTCACCAAAGCTCTATGAGTGACGGTGGTTCTAGAACAGGCAGAGATCTTGCCCGTTCTCTCTCAGCTTTACTAAGTATGTGGTAGGAGACCATATCTGTGGAAGAACACTGAATCACTAAATGCCAAACTCTGAATTCCATGTCCCTTTTTAGCATCAGGGTCTTTTCCCTTCATGCATTCACTTATTCATCCATGCAGCTACCAGATCTCTTATTCAAGGCCCTGTGCTTTTAAAGATGGTTAACAGCCAATCGTTGCCCTTTGTGCTGTTGTTATGTTCTATTTCAGAGGGGCTAGCATAGGCTCCTCCACGAGGTTGAAGCTGACAAGTGACACGAAAGAGATTTGACTAATTGCCTCCAGGAGCTGAGAAGGTTTGCAGCTCCAAATTTAGAAATTGTGGGGGTTACACATGAGCATTTTGTGGTACCTAGACATTTTAAATGGGATATTTCCAAGGATATTTCAGCTGGAGAGGATCCTGTATACAAAAGCTGAATATTAAAATAACAAGTGATCCAGTCTAGCTGGAAAGGGTGCATGGAGGTCAGTAATGGCAAGTATTGATAGACCATAGAGGTCCTAAACTCCCAGAATGAAAATGTGGGGGCTTTGCTTCTCCCTATTCTATAGATTGCAGGAAACAACAAAGATTTAGGGCAGAAGCCTGACATGCTTAGAACTTTAATTTAGCAAAATTAATCTGACATAATAATATAAAAATGAATTAAAAATAAGAGAGTAGAAGGAGCAGAAACCAGTTAAGAAAAAGTGAGGCTTGCTGGTAATCCTCAACCAAGAAATTCTCAAGAAAACCTCTGAGAGACAGCAGCACTCCAACGTGTCCCTACAGCGTCCCGTCCTTTCAAGGTTCCACAGCGAAGGCAAGCACCTCAGCAGATGTCCAAGCTTGGACCCTCACCCTCGGCTAAAACCCAGGATGCTTCTTCTCAGACCCTCATGGGCCCCTGTATGGCAAGCAGTGAGGCTGACCGGGAAGTGAGTCACCAGAAGGCCTAACAAGAGCCAGTGTCAACAGACCCTGGCTGAGTTTTGCTTTTCCAGTAAACATGAGGATGTTTCCTATTCGGGTTCTCTCCATGAATTCACATGAAGATATTAATGACTTAATGGATGAAGGGTTTCAGGGCAATTTTAATTTTTCAAAACTTTATCTGAAGGAATGAATGAATTCCATGATGGCACTTTAAGCAATTAGCACAGATATTTTTCCCGCAAAATTATAGCATACAAATGACCCTGTGTACATGTAAGATGTAACCAGTCAGGGAGCCCCATATGAGCCCCTCCACTTATGACCTGTGACCCTGACACAAGCCGTTAAGCTCTGATAAGAGGAGAGTCCATCCAGGGAAAGGAGAACTTGTGGCTTGGGGGATATCTTGGACATAATCTGTGGAGGATACCGACCAGCAGTATCCATCTCGGCTGCAGATGTTCGTCAAAACATGCTAAAAACATACACAGAGACAACCAGATCCTGTGGGGGAATAGGAACAGAAGGGCCACTCCTCACGTGGGGAGCACCTTTCTGTTCCTATTCCCCCACAATAATCTGTTAAGTGACAGTGAGAGATCCACTATGAAATAGTGATGAAAGGAAGGGAATGAAAGACCTCTTAGTTCTTTAAAACCCCTATACCTCTCACAGAAAGTTCCATCTGGATTTGGGGACACGGTAAAGGGTGCTGTGGGAACAGCAGTGCCCTGTCCTCTCTCCCATGCAGTAAGAGTGACATCTTGTGGTGGCTATGCTCAATCTCAGTGCTGTTCCCGTGAGCCAGCATTGATGATCTGAGGTTTATAATCTAAGAGTGCTTGGATGATCCAATGGAAGACACCACTGTGCCAATGGAAGCATGAATCTCAGAGAGGGGGAGACTTGCCCAAAGACCTCTTAGATGATCCTGAGGTTAGAACTCAGTCTCATGAATCCTAGGACTGGCCCCTTGTTTGTGCTTATTTCCTTTATTATCCTTTATCATCAAAATTTGATGCAAAGCAAAAGACCCTATGTGTAGCTATTCAGCACAATGATACCGTGTTATTAAGAACAGCCCTGAATCCTTCCCTTTACCAGAACACTATGAAACCCCCCACGTGTATCAACGTGTTCCTCCTGCTTCCCCTGCCCTCCTCCACATTGTCCTGAATTATTTTTTGTTCATCATTGCCCCACTTTTAAAAAGTCTTATCTCAAATGTTTGTATCTAATGCAGTATATTACATAGTTGTGCTTGCTTATGAGTATTCATGGTCCTTTCTATTGAGTTAGGTAAGTGGACTTCCTGTCTCCCAAAGACAGGATGACAATTCACAAAAACAGCTTTCTCATAGAACTATACCTTTAATATAACGTACTGATGTTGAGGATGTCTGGAGGGGACAGGGAATCACAGCACAATAGCCTCATCAGAAAATAACTTTAAGCTGTGTCCTCAAAAAATATGGCTGCCCTCATACACCTGTGATGTCCAGGCATCTCCCCCCATCTTCCCAGTCATAATCCTCAGAACTCATTATTTCAGGATGACAGAAAGTAGACTCCTGAATAACTACCCTGCACTTTTGCTAAATGCCCTCTATGATGACCATATTCAAGGACGATATTTTCTGAAAGGAAAATAAATGGGACAAAGTCTCTCATTAAGCACTCATAAAACAATGGAGTGCATCATCTGAAATCAGGTGTATTGGAAAACCCAGGCTGCCAAGCTGCAGTGAGTGAGTGCCCTGACTGTTGCATGCAAAGGAAGCTGTAGCGTGAGAAAGGTGCGCTGGTTGGCGAATCACAAGCAGTAATAGCAGGAGAAAGCCCAAGTGACGTGTTACTAATTCCTTGTTTGATTTCAGAGTTGGAAATAACTTCTGGTGGGTTCCTGTAGTGGGCCCTTTGGTTGGCGCTGCCATTGGAGGCCTCATCTATGTTTTTATCATTGAAATCCACCATCCAGACCCTGACCCAGACTTGGAGGCAGAACAATCTGAAGACATACCAGAGAAACATGAACTTAGTGTGATAATGTAGCAGCGTGCTCAGTTCTAGGCTTACAGTTGGCTGAGCTGACGTTCTCTTCAGGAAAGATGGCATGCATGTGTCTATGTTTTCCTAAGACCGGGGCAGATCTGCCCAATGTTCTCTGCTAGCCACTCGGGACACCTAATTAGAAAAGCATCTGAATGAAGTTTTGAGAATACTGACCTCTTCTCTACCAGCCCTCCTCCCCAGAATAACACGAACTGACTCCTGAAACAGTCTTCTCTCCACCCTGTTTATTTCATTCTTTCATGTGAAGTTTTGTTATTGGGTGAGCACTAATAACTTGGAACTTTGACCATGGACTTATTTGGATAGTCTCAGCTGCATTATCTGTATAAAACAGTATCACCAAATGCTTTATTTTCAAATCCACAAAGGTTACATTCTGAATATCAGCCAAAACTAAATTGAAAGATAGAACAGTGGTTTCAGTTCACATATCCATGAACTGGGGAACTAAAGGGTTAACTCCCTAGTTTTGCTGTGCCACTATTATTGTATAAATACTGATATTCTCCAAACCTGGGGATGTAAGAAGCAGTAGAATGCAGCTGGAAAGCATAGGAGAAGGACATTGTGGCATTCAGAAACCTCAGGAGACAAGATAAATTTGGGAAACCAAATGGAATTTTTAAATGGAAACCATTTATCAGAATAATCCCTTGCTCCTTGCATTTTTAGAGGGCACCAATTAATTCCCTGGTCTTTAGTATGTAATAACCTAAAATATAATCATAACCCTCAGTCATGAAAAATACATCACTCTGTATTTTTAGCTCAAATGTCTTTTCCTAATTGCCCACTTGAGGACAGACATTTGACAAGTGAAGTCAATGACTGCACTCATCCATTCTTCTGTACGTGCCCTAGAAGCCAAAAACAGAAAGCCATTGGCTCCCAGTCTAGTGCAATCTTCAGGATAGAAGGTCCCTGGAAATAACATGCCTCTTGGCCTTCACAGTAAACAAAGCACTTTCACATGTTTTATCTAATTGAATCCTCATAGGGACTGTCTGAGCTTCGTACACGTCTTTTGGATAAGAATTCAAAATGTCAGGGGAGCTAAGTGGAACTGCCTAGGTCAGGCAGAAAGTGGAGCACCTTCTCCTGTATCCTACACGGTTCAGAAGATCAGTCCCTGGCTGAGAATCTCAGCCAGCCCTTATGGCCGGCCAGAAGGAGCAGTATTGACAGCTGCCAGGATGTGTACACCTTCTGGACGTAATTCTCCATCCTGAGATAAAAGACCTTCATTGTCTGGTTTTATTCCTGCTGTTCTGAAGCATTAACAAAGGAAAGAGGTAACGATTTGATCATGTATTTCATCTGCTGAAAAACATTATCAGAAGACCTCCTTTCCTAGTCCACCATTATTATTCAGTCTCGATTTCCCCTCCCTGCCAGTCCCAAACACTACATTCAGGAAATTTCCCCTGGGTTAGGCTCTTCCCTTATAAATCCTCTAAGTGATGTTCTTTGGTCAAAAGCGTCTCTGAGTTACAAACACCAGAGAAACTGCTCTGCATCAAGTGTTGCATCTTTAGTCAAACTGTTAAAAAGCCCAGAATTCCCAGAGGGACCCAGTTTTTCAATTACTCTGTGATAATAGCAGAACCACAAAAAGCAAAAGTAAAATACCTCCTGTGGCCTGTGTTCTGTAATCCGCTGACATGTGGAATTTTTTTCTTGCTCCAAAACTACTTGGATATTTCCTATTTGAAATAAAATTGGATTTTTTATTGAGTTTTTATAAACATTAAGACTGCTAAGTACACTTAGTTCATATATTTGTCTAGCCTATCTCTAAATTAGATCTTCTGAGGAGCTTTTGAAAATGCTAATGCCCAGCTGGTCATTTTAATGTCTCAGGGAATTCTAATGGGCAGCCATGGTTAAGCACACTGGCTTGGTGAATCACATGGCTCTAAGGTTTCTCTGAGAACCAAGTCTAGTGGTGGCCGGGTTGTCCTGGCAAGTTTCTCAGTCTTGTGAGCCTCACGGACTAGAGAGCAGTGGTTCCCACTGTTCCCTTCCCACTCCCGCCTACCACTCCTGTAAGGGAACATTTTGTCATGTCCGGAGACGTTTTTGGCTGTCACGACTTGGGAAGGGGTGTTACTGGCATCTGCTGGGTAGAGGTCAGGAAGGCAGCTAAACATCCTACAATGCACAGGACATCGCTCTCCCCCCAACAAAGAATTATTCAGCCCTAAATGTCTATAGCGCAGAGGTTGAGAGACCCTGGAATAGAGAAAAGGCAAAGAGAGGAGTAAGAGAAAATGTTGAAATCCTGTTCCCTAATTCAAGTTCTGCCAAAAACAGAGATGCCACGCAAGTCAGGAACAGACCCCAGGGGTGGATTATAATTATTAGAGGATGAGACAACCCAAAATTTGAGTTTTCAGGTTGGATTGTGAAATCGGTGATCCACACAGGTGTTCATTATACACTACTCAGTGATTAATGACTTGGATTATGAAGAGGAAATGTACATTTATAAAAATCAGCCCCGGGATGGTTTTTTTAAATGGAAAAAAGTCCTCTGATTCCAGGTGCTCACACTCCAGTCCTCCCCTCCCCCAGCCCCAACAAGTGGGTTAACCTAAGTCGAGTTCTTATCCAAGAGAATGTCTGTGAGGTTGAGTGATTTGTTCAGAAGTCAGTTAGATAGAAACAACTAACCTACTTGTTAAAAGGATCCTTTGGGAGCTAAAATTGTAACATGCTCTCTTTCTCTTCCTTGTCAATCCTAAAACTTAATAGAAACACTTATTTTTATGCCAAAATAGAATGAATGATTTTCCAACCAGTTGAGATCACAGGGCATGTCTAAGGTTGAAGGACTTTTCTAACCAGTAAGAGCCAGAGTTAATATTCAGCTATCGAACAGGGTAAGTGGGGTAAAAAGTCACATTTAAAATCTGATCCTTAAGATATAAATTATTATTTCCTTTATGGCTTTCACACACACACTTGTCTTATTTAAAGGTATGTCAGTGCTCAAAAATGTCATCATGGAAAAAGAATTACCACTTCCAGTTTTAAAGAATTGTTTTATGTTTTATTGAGCCACAGAACCTGTTGTTCCAATAAAAACATGTGGTAACCCACAAGAAAACCTCCAGAACTGCTATAAATAGAGAAAGGGTGAGGAAGGGGATGGGAGTTTCATTCTGCATGATATAATCTTACACCCCACTCTGCTCAAACCCAACACAGCCCCGGAGATGTCTCCGCAAAGAAAGTGTGTGTATGTGTGTGTGTCGGTGGCAGAGGGGTGGGGGCTGGGTAAGATGCAATGCAATCTTCAGAACACAATTTCACAACTTGAAAACCATTGGTAAAATACTTGGAACAAGCTGTTGAACATTTTTATAAAAGTTTCAAGGATAGAAACTACCAAAAGCTATGTGAATTCAGACTGACATAATTTTCCAGGCTTCCTAATAAATGAATTCAATAGTTTAAACAGAATTACTCAACATACCAAACATCACCCACAAAGAGATGCCGTATATCAATTCTCAAACTGGGCCTTTAGAGTCGCTGAAATAACATGTTTATTAATCACAGCACATGGAGAGAAGAAACGGTAGTCCTGGTCAGACTTACTGTGTTGACTCTCTAGTCTGTACAAATAAATAACTAAATAGGTAGGTGGGTAGACAGATAGGTAGAGAGATAGGTAGATCAACAGACAGATGATCAAGCAATCCACCAAGCCTTATCCAAGGAAAGGGAGTAGCTCTTACCCAAGAAAAGCTGTCTCTGGACTAAGGAAGGGAGAACCCCCTTATAAACTGAATATGAATAAACAATGTGTAGACTCTATCCAGCACAATTTGATTCTCCCTCCAGGGCTACATTATGTCTTTTGGGGGCTTTAGGCACTTTTGTTTTTTGGGGGACCTTCCCCAGCACCCACCCACACACACACAAATTACAAACTATATTTTATGACTGTACTGGTGATAAGCTCTATTATATTATTTTTTCATATCATCTTAGAAAAGATTAAAACATTTTTGTGGGCTACTGAAAATATAATGAGCTGTAGGCTTTGTGCAGAATGAAAAAGTTGGCCCTCTTGCTTCTTCCCTCTAGCACACCCCCTGGTGTCTGGAGCCCAGCCGTACAGTAGCCAGTTTCTTCAAGGCCCTCAACTCCCCCTGCCTCTAGGGTCTCAGCCAATAAGGCCCAGGGAAGACTGAAACCAGAGGTGGGAGTGAAGACAGAAGAGAGCTCTGGGAGTCCTGGAAGTTGTGAGGAATACTCCAGAGGCCTGGCCCAAGGCCTTGGGGATCCTCCATATCTTGGCCCCTCCCTCCTTGTGAAGTACCTAGTAGGAAAGGGGATTTCCTGACCTCCTGAGAAGAAAGCAAGGGGGTCCTGGGCCCTGGACACCATAAACAGCAGAGACCCTGTGCTACATTACTAACACATAATTCTTGTGGAGTGTTTCACAGTGTACAAAGCACTTTCACATCTAGTATCTGATAACATGCTCAGAGGAGCCCAGCAAGTAGATTATTATCCCCATTTAGACATGAGAAAACTGAGGCTTAGAGGCCTGAATGATCTGCACCAAGTTCCAGAGTGAACAGTGGCAGAGGTGGAAGACAAATCACACTCCTAAGTGGAGTGGACAATGGTCCAAGTTTGCCCCAGACTCAAGGATTTTCTGAGATGTTTGAAGTCCATGCTAAAGCCGGGAAAAGTCAGTCACCCTACCGCCTGAGTCAAGACTTACACACTTCCCACCACTGTGCCCATAAATCCACGAAGTAGAGAAGAGTAGGATGGGAGTTCAATAATATAATGTTCTCTCCACCCAGCTGCAACAGTCGCCAATGCATGGCCAGTACTGTTTCCTGTCTACCCCCACCTCTGTCTCACTACTTCCCTGGAATTATCTTCTGAAGCAAATCCCAGACGTGATATCACTGTATTCAGGAAAATTTAATATGTGTATCTAAAAGATAAGAATTCTTTAAAAATATTAATATCACATAAAAATAATGATCAATAATTTCTTGATGTCATGCACATTATATTCAGTCACAGTGTATATTTCCAGTGAGACTGCCCTTCCACTCTGGCAGATAACAGCGTGGACTTTGTGACCACAGCAGACAGGTGGTTCATGCTGAAATCCGATCCCTCAGGGGGACATCAGGGTTTAGTAGCACTTGTTTACCTGTGTTCTGCACTTTTGTGTCAGAATACTCTACAAGATTTTTGCAAAATATTTTCATTTTTACACAAAAAGGAAAAATGCATTTGCTGCCTACTGTCACTAAAAGTAGCCATCTGGCAGGAGTGAAATTATGTTTAGGTGGGGAGGAATTCTTGAATTTACTTGAAATTGTGGAAAAGATTGTTAGTATCTATTGTTATATCAAAAATGCATACTACATTTTAAAATACATTTTAAAAGCTAAAATGCACTGTGAATAGAACTCCACATTTTTAACAGCCATGTATCGCCGTGTGAGACACTGTGGCTCACTGAAGTAAGTGACAACCTGAAAATGCCTAAGCTACTATAAGCTTTAGTACTGGTGTTTGTTTGCTACTTCCTATTTACTTACACGTCTTTACCCAAGGACTTCAGACTTTTGGAAATAAAAGCAAATAAAAAGTGGCACAATAAGTCTCAACCTTTGTCTAAAGGAAATCGCCTCTACTGAAAGGGGGTTTCAGTGGCCCTCAGCAGGCCGATCTCTGGTGATATTCTCAGAATAAGATTCTCATCTAGTAGATGACAGAGCAAAAAAGGTCTTCATAGAACAAGGAAGGGGCAGACCTCACACTGTCCATACGGCAGCCTAATCTTAGCTGAGGCCAAGGATAGGAATAGGTGTTCTGTCGCTGACCCACTGAACAAGACCATGAGGGCAGTCTGCGATCACAGGCTGGAGGCTGTGTGGCTAGTGCTCAAGAGGTCAGGGCTGCAGACAGCCACACTGAAACCTGATTCACTGCTGGATAGCTGAGACCCTCTAATCCTCAGTCTCCTCATCCATGAAATGGGAACAGTACTGGCACGTGCTTTCTGTTGGTTGTTGAAACTATGAAGAAAATGTCTGTGGAACATTGAACGTGGTGCCAGGAATTGACTTCCCTCTTCATAAGTGTCAGCTCATTCTATCATTATCTCACATTACATACTCAGCTATATATATCTGCTTTGCTAACATTAAAAAAAACACTGATGAAAATTCTCTGGGGATGTGCATTTGCTGACAATCCAATATGCGACTCACTTAGATTTGACAATTATCTCTTTTTTTTGCCTTTTCTCTTTATTTTTTCTTTTCTCTTTATCTTCATCATCATCATCATCATCATCATCACCATCATTTGTTATTGTTGTTGTTGATGACGATGATGTTGTTATTTCCAAAGGCAAAACTCTAATGAGGTTGGCATTCATGTGGCCTTTTGGTGGCCTGGTTATGAATTTAAAATTTTTAAATTTTATTCTATTTTTTTCCATCACCATTTATCTCACCTATGACCTCTTCCATCTCTACCTTCCCCTCCTGCCCCTAAAGACAACAACGTAGTGAATGACAATTCTCTTAATATACTCAGGTGCAAAGAACCTGCATAGGGCCATGCTTAGTTCATGGATCACAGTGCCTTGGTTTTGGCGAATCCGTGTGGAATTTCTGACCCACAGGACTGTAAGTTAATAAAAACTTTGTTGTTTGAAGCCACCAGACTGATGATAATTTGTTGCAGAAGCCATAGCAAACTAATAGAAATGATAACCCTCCCAAACACTCCTGGAACAATCTTGAAAAAGAACAAGGTTAGAGGACTTTCACCTCCCGGTTTTAGAACTCAGTAAGAAGTGGCAGTAATGAAGACAGTGTGCATAGGAGAGACATGTAACAGTGGAATAGAACTGAGAGCCCTGAAATGAGCCCTCGTATGTGCAGTCGACTGATTTTTAACAAGGGCGTCAAGATAATTCGATTGCCTTTCAACGAATTGCACTGGAACAACTGGATATCCACTTGCATAAGATTGAATTTGGATCCATACCCTAACACATATACAAAAATTAATTCATAATATATCAAAGATTTAAATGGAAGAGCTAAAGCTATAAAAGTCTTCAAAGAAAACATAGGCACAAGTCTTTATGAACTTTAGGATTAGACAATGGTTTAATCAAAAGCATAATCAACAATAGAAACACTAAATTGAACTTCCTGAAAACTAAATTTTGTGTTTGGAAGACACAGTCAAGAAAGTGAAAAGAGTCTACAGAATGGGTGAAAATATTTGCAATTATTTATCTGATAAGGAGTTTGTATCCATAATATAAAAAGAACTATCACAACTCAACAATAAAAGCACAAATAACCCCATTTTAAAATGAGCAAAGGCCTTAAATAGACATTTCCCCAAAGAAGATGTGTAAATGACCATAAGCACATAGAAATATACTCAAAGTAATTAGTCTTTAGGAGCTGCAAATCAAAACCAAAACAAAATGCTACTTTCCATCTACTTGGATGGCTAAAATTAAAAAAAGACATTAACAAACATTGATAAGGATATACAGAAATTAGATCCTTTATATATTGCTGCTGGGAATATAAAATGGTGCAGCTACTTGGGAAAACTCCTAGTAAACAGTTACCGTATGAGGTAGCAATTTCATGCTTAGGTGTGTGTTCAAAAGAATTGAAAACACGTGCCCACACAAAAACCTGCACATGAATGCTCGTAGCAGCTTTATTCACAATAACCAAAACAACAGCCCAGATGTCCATCATCTGATGAATGGATAAATGAGTGTGGTATCTCCATACAATGGAATATTATTCAGCAGCCAAAAGGAATGAGGTATATTCCTTGAAAACAATTTTCTAAGTGCGGGAAACCAGGTACAAAAGGCCACACGGAGTATAACTCCGTTTATGTGAAATGTCCAAAATAGACAAATCTGTAAAGACAGAAAGCAGACTTTCAGGCCCTGGCTGATGGGGCAGGGGGAGAGGAAATGGGGGATGGCTACTAATAGTTCCCAGGTTTCTTTTGGAGGTGCTGAAACTGTTCTGGAATTACATGCACAGCTCTGTGAATGATCTAAAAA